AGTCTTAGATACGATATTGAGTTCCTTATTTTCATTTTCAAATTCTAATGAGCAATTAACAGGATTGGTATCTAAATGAATTCCAGAAAAACCGAGACTAGAAAGGTTATCATTTATAAATTTTAAAATTTGATAAAAGTTTTCAAATAAAAATATTTATTGATTTATACATTATTATATATGTACAGTATTTATATGCATAGAGCATTGACATATGCGTTTTGTAAAAAGTAAGTTTAAGTAGAAGTTTTGTATAGTATTCTACATTTTCACATACACACTCTATCCACTGCTATTTAGTATTTAAAATCTAAACTAAATGGTTGAGAACCTATTTGAGGAACTCCTAGAAGTTCAATTATTAAATTTGACATTAAACAATATTTTTAGATCACAATTCAAACGGTTTTTCAAATTTAGGAGCGTTTCTGAAATGATGAAATTGTTTTTGTTCTTAAAGAAAGCTAAATGCTTTATGATTTTCCTTCAATTTACCATGGAGTTCAGACCAGTAAGCTGCGTTCACATTAATAAAACGATTTTAAATTTAGTTAAAAGGTACTGCATATGAATGCTAAAACATTTTTTTATTTGTTAGTAAATATCATTAAATTTTCTTGGAGCAGGGATTTTTCGTTGGAAAACGGTGGAAGTCGCATAACTAATGACCAAAGATACCGAAGAAAAGCGATCAAAATACACATCAATATGTTTTATAAAATTAACGGTGATTATCAAAGATATATACAACTGCCATTTTTCTCTTACAAAACCATTAGGAAAACCATCATCAATATGATTTATATTGTTTCAGCTTCTTCGTTTTTTTCAGAACTTTTCCTGATAAGGTTTCGTAATTTTACAAAAAGACTCTAAGTATCTTCTTCTTCCGTTCATTAACTTACTTAATATTCAATAAAATGTAATTTGTACATCTAGAAAAAACTGTAACTTCCTGGATTAAATATTTTTGGTTTAACGGATAATTGATTCTAAACTACATATATAGACAGCTATTTAAAAATAAATTTACTTGCAAGTAGCTAAGTAAGTGATAAATAATGTCAACATTGCTACAAATCAGAAAATGTAAATACAATTAAGCGTCGGAAGGAATGTAGCCTTGCATTCCAAAAACTTCTAAAGCAAAGGACATTTATAAATATAACGGTTATTGTATGGTATGCTGAAAATAATTTTTAATACAAAATGGAAGCTAATGCCACATACAAAAACATTTAAAATGTTTGTACGTGTATGTGTGTAAAAAGTACAAATTTTCGAGTTCTTTTTTTGAAAACTTCGGGAATTGTGAAGTTCAATTTCAGTCACTTGTGTGTTCTTGTTAAGAAATAGAATATGTACATACATTTCTTGAGTTCAATGACAACGCGATATTTGGCTTATTGGCTGATGATCAGAATGCATTTAGTATGTATTATGTATTGACGATTGATGAGAAGAAAAAGCGTTTGTTACTTAGATGGAAACGCATATAGAAAGATGAGTATCATGTCATCAGAAATAGCAATTATCAAACCGCTTATTCGTTTCATTGTTATTTTAACTGAGGCCAACGTGAATTGCCTGATAATTTCAAGTGAGTAAGAACCATGACAATGATGAACAGGTGACAAGATCCAATAATTTTTATTTAATTTCAATTGGAATAGAAGTTTTAGAAATGCATTTTGTATAAAAAACTGATACAGCCCTGAATACAGAAAAGTGGATATGAACATGTACAGTACCAGACAGTAAATTAAAAAAACCAAGCGAACCAAAAGCAATTACTTGATAAGAAGAAATAATATTAAAACTACAAATATTTCAAAACGAAGTACGGAAATCCAAACTGCGGGTTCGAACGGAGGTCAGTTTCATGTCAGTTGAAGATATAATCAAAGGAATGGCAATTGAATATAAAAGACCTGGGAGGAAAGATTGCATACATCAAACAGTCGAAAAGATGATGATACAAGGCGATATCACATTTAATAGTAGAAATGGATTCAATTTTGGTCATGCTACTTTTTCGGGACCATCTGATTCCTCTTAAGCATCCTTTATATAATGCGCTTTGGCATGAATGTAAAACCAATGATTATTTTGCTGAATAATGGCAGGTGCATTTTTCACTATTGCATATTTTTATTATACAGAATGCTTCTAAGTAATATGCGATGAAAACTTTATACCAACACTTCAACAAGAATCAAAAAAGTTTTGGTTTCATTTCTTGAAACTGGTGAGTTTTTAGTTCATTTGGGTCGTTGTGGAACACAAATTCTCCTTGATTTTTCGTAAGCACTCTATATTACACCCACAATAGCTTCCATGTCCAGAGGTCATTTGCTTGGACACGAACTGATCAATCTGAGAAGTCTAACCATCTTATCCCGGTTTATTTATTTATTTTTTAATTTCCTTCTCAGCTTCAAATTTCGAATCCTTCGTCGCTTTGTAAAAAGTTGGGGTTGAAATCCCTTTCCAGCTTCGAATTTGGAAGAAATATCAAATAATTTTTCTATCAAAAAACGAACAGAATAAGCAAAAGTTTATAACAGAGATAACACATTATTTGGAAATCTCGTCACCTCCATTCCCTGACGACTATAGAATTTGTTAAAAATGTAGTTTTTTAGTTTTGACTGAATTTTTGTGCTTTACTTTCTACTCAAAAAAGCTCTATTTTGTAGAGTTTCACTTAAAAATACTGTGGATCTGGAGGAGTGTTTTGCGAAAAATTACAAGATAGATTCATAACTTTACAAAACCTTTTCTCAGCGTCGAATTCGGGACAAAAACTAAAATACATTCCTCCCATTTTTTCCCGAAAACCATTAAGGTTTTCTCCAAAACTAAAAGTTTTTCATCGAAAACGCAAAAAAGCATTATTCTCTGATGATTTTGTTCTTTTCTGACAATAATAGGGTGTTTTCAGGCAAAAATTACAAATTTAATTTTGCTAGAAAATTCGCCTTATTCATCGGTTTGAAGAGAACTTTAGAAAACCCATTTCAGCTTCGAATATTTGGCACAAAAAGCAAATAATTGGATTATCTTGAAAATAAAAAGGATTATCTTGAAAATCGACCAGAGAGCAAGTCTAAAGTGAAAAATTCACCGCTCTCATCGCTCTGAAGAAGTTTCTTTAAATTTTCGGGTCATTCCAGTTTTAACAAAGTTTCTATTAAGCAAATCGCATTATTTTTCAGTTTTACTTAAAATACTGACAATCCTCAGGTATTTCCTGTGAAAAATTATAAGATACATTTTATTGGAACACTCGCCTCCTTAACCGTATTGCAAAAATTTTTGGAACCCTTTTTGCAGCTTTCAGTTATGGACAAAACCGTAATAATTATTTATGGGTGTTTTTCCAAAAATATTTCCCCGAACTGAAAAAGCGAAAGTTTATAATAATTGGGGGGAAAACTGGGGTTTCTTCACTTTTAAATCAATATTTCTAAACAACACTGTCTCTAAACAGAAACACTGAGTTTTTCCTAACGTTTTACTGTAAAATACTGGCAAACTGAATGTTTTACGCAAAAAAAATAAGATATCGCATTTACGGGAAAACTCGTCGACTTTCTTTGGACTCAGTTCTGTTGCAGGGAAAATCTACATGACTTTGTTAGTTGTTTGAACAAAGTAATAAAACGTGTCTCAGATAAAATGTTGATAAATATTTTTAGATTTGAAAATTCCAGTATCGGATCTCGTAAGGTATTAATAAATGAATTATAACTCATTAACAAATGAGTGATAACCCGGTAACTCAGAGAGCGGCAACAACTCAATAGCGCAACTCAACACAGTGTCACCCAGGCCTACACCAACCCATTCAAAACGTTGATACTTATTTTGTGGCATTTATTAGGAGTGTATAGGTACTTTCGAAATCCAGTTAAGAACTTCTTGCAGTCTAATTCAAATATTGATCTAAACTTTTTAAATCCGTTTCCATTCTGTACTCCGTAGGCAATGAGATATACTGATACAACGTATTATTATATAACGCTATAATATCCTAATGAAACACAGGATATTAAACATGCATTTATCCTTCATATGTGTTTATTATAACCAGCCCTTGAAGATAAAATTATAATGCTATGATTATGTGTGACTAAGTGACTTGATTATAAAGTCGGTTAAAGCAGTTTTTATTTAAACCCATATTTGGTAGGCATCTTTCGTATCTTGATTAAATATATAAGAACGAATATAAAAACCAAAATCAAGTAAAGTTTTAATCAGGAAGGATTTCTAAAAAAATCTTTATTAAGGATACAATATAGAATAGAAACTGCAGCGAAAAATACAAGTTGCTTTAATATTGAATAACAAATAAGTTCTTCAGCATTGAAGTTATTACGGTTCCAGATTTCTGTCACACTTCAATAAACTTTTCGATCATCGTAAAAGAAACAAAAGCTCAAACAGTTAGGAATTTTATTTATTAGAATCAGATGCTAAATATGATTAAAAGCAGCCCATAAAAAGAACTGCTTGTAGGTATAAAAAACAGTTAAATTTGTCTGTTTTATTGCATTAAAGTTTTTATAACACTGACTGCCATAGTAGGCACATACTAATCAATATAATCGGAAATCAATTACACCCACCAAACATTACATTTGGTTGACATTTGAATGGTTCACCGTATAAGAATTTCAATGCTGCTACTTGAAAGGACAGAATGCGACAATTTTGATACCGATTTGCATGAAGAATTTCATTATGATGTTCTATTCAAAATATAAAGTTTCGTTTTAATTTGATTTAATCGTTTTAAGTTCTGACTAAGGCAGAAATTAATGTGTGACTTTAAACTTGGGAGAGAAAAATGCATTACAAGCAAATTTATGGTTGTATTGGTTTTTTTACCATAGCTCCAAAATCCCACTTGTTTAAAAATGATTATTTTACAATAAACATTTTGTCCAAAACTTTGAAACATATTAAATACATAAATTATATAAACTTCTTACCTCGCACAAAGCTACTCCAGTTTCTAACTTTTCCATAAAGTTCTCCACAGCGATGTTCAAATGGGGATACATGGTTTGAAGCCATTCGGCCAAATCTTCTTTCATTGCATACAAATACTCTTCACTGGACTTGAAAGGCCTAAAGGGCCGCGATTCCAATAAAACCGAAATCATGTTTACTGTTTGTTGAATTATCACGTTGCAAATACGATTAATTCTATTATAACCGGTAATAGATAACTACTTTTTCGTCGTATTCTTTCGAGGATCGGAAGTGGATGGGATGATCATCGTTTGTTTATCGTTAATTTCCTGGAATAAAAGATATATATATATATGTAGAAGATGTACACAGATTTTTCATTTATAAGTCACTAAATTACTAAGTGCAATTTGCTAAGTGCCCGATTTAAAAACCTGCAGTAGATGTTCTTAGCCATGTTTGCAATAATTTGTTTGCAATTTTAATATTTCTTCCATATTAAATAAAGAGCCGATATTTTATCAAATTATTTAAAAAATTCCTTTCCACAGTTTTCAAAGCAACGAGTCTGTAGTACTAAATTTAATATGTAAAAAAAATATAACATCAATTGGGTACAAATAATATGTAGCAGAAAGTTGCTGCTATCATTAAAAAATCGCTTTATATGAATTTTTGAACGCAAAGAACATCTTCATTAAAATAAACATTAATTTTTGAATTTTGAAAGTCGTTATAATTTGTTTTTCCAATCGAGCTTTTTCCAGTTAAAGAATCGATAAAACATTGATATTCAACTGCCTCTTCACTAAACAGTTCGTAGAATAGCAATAGGATTTGATCAAATACAGGTACTTTATTACGCAGCTTTTATTTATCGGAACACCTATTGGCTATTCCTCTCAATAATTAACATACTTTTATTTAAACAGGCACATATGCAGTTAAAAAATTCGTTATTGATATATTTTTTATTATTTTTGGCATGCAATTAAAGTATTTGCTAAGTTCTACTCAGGGGCGGATTAAAGCTTTACGAGACCCTGGAATTTTAACACCTAAACAAAAAGGTCACCACATATTTTATGAATAACGTTTTACCACTTTATCGAAACTTTATTTTAACACCTAAAAAAAAGGTCACCACATGTTTTATGGGGCCCACTTAAGAGTGGAATATTCAGAGTTCGCGAGGGCCTCTGAAGTTAATCTCTCTCGGTTAATCCGCCCCTGGTACCACTAAATAATTGCAAGATGTTTTATTTTTGAATTATGATTTATATTTTAACTTTATAATTTAAATAATTACAAATGATATACTTAAGTATAAGATTTTTTCTTAGAAATATCGAAAATATTTTATATTTAATTAATGGATGGTGGAGAACATAATGATGCCTATATGTACCTAAGTTGATATTAATTTTACTTCAAACTTTTTGTTAATTTTCTGGCCATGTTTTTTGGATCGAAATTATAAATATTTTTAGAAAACTTTTTTGAATGTTATAGTAATAGTGTCTATGAGAAAAAAACTGTAAAACTTATAAGAATAGATCCAAAATAGAGTTATTGCAATATTTGTGATAAAAAGTTGAACAGTTTTGCAAATTGAGTTTTTTAGTAAATTTAAATACATATATATATATGGCTTAAGAGAATACCAGGAATTAAATATTTTGCTTATCTAAGTTCAAATAAATTTAAACAGTTTTCTTCAATCAGTTTTAACTTTCATTAAATTTGACGAAACACTGCAATAAATGTAAACATTTTGCTATGCTCAAATTAATAAGCGCCATGCTCTAATAAAACAACAAATATAAAAAATAAAACGTGACTTGAAACAAACATTAAAAAATATTACAAAATATTTTCTAGCAGGTTGATTCGATTTTTTCTGAAATTATTTAATACATACCAATAACGATACAACGTACCCTAAAATACACTAATTAAAAATCATGCACAAAATAAAGTACAACAAATAAACCACACAAATTATGCAAAAAAATTGGTAAGAATTAAAGAAAAATGATCGAGTTGCTAAATTGCAACAAAAGGCAGGACAAACCGGAAACCAAAATTGCAACGGAAACAAAACACTCACGTCGCGTACCGCCGTCGTCGGAACGTCAAAGCAAACCGCGAAAACAACCTCTTGGCGTCTATACAACCGAACTGCTAGATATCAAGCCAGTCTTTGAAACAAATGAATTTAAGTAAGTAATGCGCGCGACCTCCGCGTTGATAATAATTGGTCGTGTGTAACTTTACTAGTATTTGCAGTTTTATACTAAGGAGAAAACGAAGACATGTTCAGCCAATTTACATCTCTCCGCTCGCAACAAATGACCCTCATGCAGAGATCTGCGTATGGTCTCAAAATTTTCTCAATTCTTCAATAATCACATAATAAAAATTTACTGCAATTACCAAAACAGGCCACTTAAAAAAATATCGTTGTTATAGTTGTGAAAATATTAAACTTTAATGTAATATTTAGATCACGTTACTAATTTGAATACCTGGAGGTTCAAAATGCACCCTCAGAGCACTAATTAAGATGCAAAAATGCCACTAAATAATTTTAGTCAGTTTGCTTCCAGTAGAAATATAAAAAAAAGTAAGCATTTTTTATAAAAAAAATATAACGCTATTCTGATGTTTCTTTTTGCGTCATTTCATGCTCTTTATATTTAGCGTTAACAGCATGGCAAATAACTACAGGACGAGTCACAGCTGTGTGTTTCTCATACGGCAAAATTGTGGAATAATTCAGCAACATATTTTTTCCAAAAAATAGCTCAAAAACATTAGTTCAATTTATAATTACATATTCTCAAATGTTAAATAACGCTTTCGGTTTTTATTTCGGATTAAGATAATACGACAAATTAAAAGTTTGACGGGCATTTTTTGTACCTATCACTTAACTAAAAATAAGTAATAGGTAATATAATATAGTTAATAAGGGGAAAATTTGCTAACAGGATAAAATCAAAATCCAAAGCTGGCTAAGAACAGTTTGGAGAATTAGTCGTTTGAATCGAAACGGGGTCATCGCTGTAAATTTTAGCGTAAATTTAAATTTTTCAAAAACAGGACTTCGGACGGTGTGCCGCGGTCATTAGGGGAAGCGATCTATAATATTTGTAAGACGGCCACACTTCCGGTTTTACCGGAAGTAGGTATGAACTTATTTATTTAAATGGAACACCCTATACAGGGTGGCCATTTTCTGAATCTTTGCATGGGTAACTTCTACATTTTTAAAGATAGGGAATCCGTTAAATGGGCAAAATTGGGCAGAATTCGATTGCCTATTCCTTACCTCAAAATTTAGGTATCCGACTTGGTTCCTGAAATATCCTGAAAAGACAAAAAATGAACACTTTTTTAATTATCATATAATTCGTAAACTGCTTAAATGAGAAAAAATTGTCTTTGGTAGAACTTTTTGCGTTGAATTCAATAAACTAGCACTCGTTGTCATAGTCGACTTGATTAACGAGATAAAAATAAACTTATGTTTTTTTAAATGGTAACCATAGTTGGCTGTGGGCCTTTTAAAATCCTTATTTTTTTCTGAATTTAACGATATAACTGTTTGTATGTTTTTCTCCTTTTGTTGGCGTAAAACTTCAAACGAAGATAAAAAATGTGTAGTAGGCTATGGAAACAAGAACTATTTTATCACACAAAGCTCAAATCAAAAATGAAATAATTAACACACTCTTATGTTTACTGAGCTAATGGAAATCATCATCTAATTGAAAATAGGCGAGATCAACATGATAGTGTACCTTCACACAACTCACGAGTTGAATGTGAAGATGCCAAAAAATGCCTGGACGTAAACGGAAGTCAATTTGAACATTTAATTTAAACGATTCATTATTGTTTTGTGTTTTGTGTAACATAACATAGTTCTTGTTTCCATAGCCTACAACATATTTTTATCTGCTTTTGAAGTTTCACGGCAACAAAAGGAGAAAAACATACAAACAAGTATATCGTTAAATTCAGAAAAAAATAAGGATTTTAAAAGGAGCACAGCCAACTATGATTGCCATTTAAAAAAACCAAATTTATTTTTTTTATCTCTTAAATCAAGTTGACTATGATAACGAGTGCTAGTTTATTGGATTCTACGCAAAAAGTTGTACTAAGGGCAGTTTTAACTTTTTTTTCTAATTTAAGCAATTTACGTAATAAGTGATAATTAAAAAAAGTGTTGATTTCAGGATATTTCAGGAACCAAGTCGGGTACCTAAATTTTGAAAACGGTAATGAATAGGCAATCGAATTCTGCCCAATTTTACCGATTTAACGGRTTCTCTATCTTTAAAAATGTAGAAGTTACCAGTAAAKATTCAGAAAATAAATATTTTCCATGTATAAWGGTCTATWWCTAGATCTAAMCGTGTTTGCTATATTTCAAATTTTATGTARAARGTGATACGTATGTAGATGTAAACCCCCATTTTTGATTATTTTCTTTTATTCAGTATTAAAAATAACGGTGAGTTTGTGTAAAGTTGTTTATTCTAAAAGTGTTTAGTTTTCGAAATATTGTCAATTTAATGTTTTACATGGCTATTTTGCCGCATCCTATTTTAAATGCTGTCACTTTTAGTTTCCAATGACGAAAGTGGCAATTTTTAAGACAATCAAATGCCAAAGGAATGCTTACAGCTGTCAGTTACTTTTTGAGAATAATTAATCTAATCATGCCCAGGCGCTTAAATTATACAAACGAAGATTATTTAAACTTGTTTGTTATTTTTGGAGAATGTGATAAAGTTATATCAAGAACATATCAAGAACAGAAGCTTTCACGCTGTGCTATTAGACAAATTATCAGAAAATTTTAAGAATTTTGAAAAACAAAGAAATAAACCTGTCGTCAATAATTATTTTAATGAAATTGTCATTCTGGGATATTTCGCCGCATATTCAACAATGTATGTAAGAGAAGCTGCGTTAGTCAGGATTGTCCAAATCAACAGTTCATAGAATATTACGCACGCATAAATTCGATCCATACGTGTTGTCCATAGTTCAACATCTGAAAGAAACTGATTTTTCTGAATTGCTGGTCCCAAGGAAACTCCCTTTTTTGTAACAATATCATCTAGACAGGCGAAGCTAAATTTACAAAAAATTGAGCATTTAATTGACACAACCATTATTGGAGCAATTCAAATTTACATGTGTTCAGAGAGCAAGATTTTCAAGAATCCTGACAATTTAGTGTTTATTGTGCAATAAAGTAGAAATCATAGATAGCATCATGGCATTACATTTTTATCAAGAAAATTTAAATCGTAAGTTAGACCTATTTTGGACCACTCTAGATAATAATGTACTAATAAATTTTGTAGGCGTAGGCTACTTGAACATTCTTGGAAACCGACTATTTAGACAATTTGCCGCTTGCTGTTCGTAGGAACCTATTTTATCGGCATGAGTGGCCCTCCTCCACATCGTGTCTACCTCATCGATATTTTTTTACAAAATACTTTTGATGATCGATGAGTAATTAACAATGGTCCTTTGCTCGCCAGATCTTTCAGTGCTAGATTTTTTTTATATGAGGTACAATTAATGATCGAATTGAATGAACATTGAAATTGATGAACATTCCCTTGAAAACTATGGAAGATTGCATGCAGCGAGTGAGGAAAGAATTGGCAACTTAAGTTCCGAGTCAATAAGGAAAGCAACCCGTGAACAAGTGCTGCTGAGATATCAAAAATGCTTGGAAGTTGGAGGACGCCTGTTTGAACATTTATTGAGAACTCCATTTTTTTTTTAATATAAGGTTTGCCTTGATAAAATAAACGTTCACTGTTATTTAGACGAATCCAAAATCCTTGAAATTTTCTTTAACTTGCTTAACAGCACAGCGTAAACGTTTCTGTTTTCGGATAGCTTTGATATAATTTTGCATGGTTTTGATATAATTTTATCACATTCTCCATAAATAATAAATAAGTTTAAATAATCTTCGATTGTATAATTTAAGCGTCTGGGGATAATTGTTAATTATTTTCAAAAGGTAACTGACAGCATTCCTTTGGTATTTGATTGTATTAATAATGGCCACTTTCGTCATGGTAACTAAGAGTGACAGCATTTAAAATAAGATGCGGCAAAATCGCCATATGAAAACATTAAATTGACAATATTTCGAAAACTAAACACTTTTAGAATAGACAACTTTACACAGACTCCCCGCTATTTTTAATATTGAATAAAATAAAATAATCCAAAATAGTGGTTTACATTTAAAAACAATGATTTTTGACGGTTTTCTGAACGTCATTTTGAAACTTATTTTCTTGACGCTTTGTATCAATAGTTATGAAAATGTTGTCGAATTTCTATTAAAGGATGTTCTTTTCAAGAAGAAGAGCGACTCAAATTAAGCAGCATGTAGTTCCTTATAGTACAAATTAATAATTATTCGAGTTGCTAAAACTATCACTTTTTACACAAAATTTGAAATATTGCAAAAACGGTTAGACATAGATATAGGACATTATATAGACATAGAATATATTTAGAATTTGGAGTAGAATTAAAAAATGTAATAATATATAGAGTGTTACATTTTAAATAAGCAAGAACTACTTCCTACTTCCGATATAAGCGGAAGTGTGGCCATCTTGAAAATATTTTAGGTTGCCTCCAATGACTTCAGTACATTGTCCAATTTTCAAGTTTCTCCTTATAATACTTTGACAGATATCGATCGCGGTGGTTCCCAGTGAGACACCCTGTATTAACGCTTTGTGTACTAATAAATTAACGCTCTTTAGAACGTATCTTTTTAGAAGCCCCGATAAAGTCGAAAACGATTGGCTACTTTTTTTAACATAAACTTCTTTCATTTTTTATAAACTTTAAAGTGCAAAATAAATAATCACAAAATGTGCGGGAAAACCTGAGGATTTATACTTTCAAAAATGAAGTTTTAAGTCTTGCACTGTTTAAATTGGAGTATAGTTTAATAAACGTAAATGCACACCGAAACCTTATGGAGTTGGAAACAGACTGGAGGATTAAAAAATTAGCAAAAGTAAGCACGTAGCAAAATTTGGTTTTGCTCGGCATATTTGCACATAATCGATAATATGCAACATAATTAATTTATCGAAGAGGATCAGAGATAGATGAACGAAATGTTTTTTAAGTAAAAATTCGAGTGTCAGGTATCTGAATGCAATGTGCTAGACCGAGTATATTTCAAAATATTGTTCTAAAAGTTAACAATTACTTGCTATCTATATGCAGGGAGACACATAGATCCTTAAAGCTTTATGATTTAAGCAATTTTTTAGTAGTTTTTCATTAGAACTGCAGAAGAAATACACAGAATGTGTTCTCTAAAATAGAGAAAATCGTTGAAGAATCAGAATTGCTCCATAAGAATAATTTGAGCTTTACTTTTTACATACATTTGATGATTAGTTAGCATTAAAATAACAAATAATTTTAAGTATAACAAGAACATTGTATAATTTTCAAAAATTTTCGGCAAACGTTATCTACAGACATCGTACATCGTCTCATTTAGCTGACAATAGCCTTTTATAAATTATCAAAACTACTAGCTGATCAAATCCAAACTATTGAAATACTTACTCATCATCAAAAATATAATCCTTCCGGGATTATTTGCCTATAGTAAATATTGTCTCTTCTAACACACTTAATATGTAAATCAATAACACGCCAACAACGATAACTTATCACTAGAAAAATCACGTAACTCTAATTTTTAACCAACAAAATGACAAAATAGAGAAATTAACATTAAAAAGATACATTTTTCTGTTGTGGTTCAGATGTTTCGACCGCTCCAAACGTCATTTTTCTGCCCTTCCGCTGTCGACGTCGCGACGGGCTGTAATACCGACGTCGCATCGAGTACGGGTGAGTGTTACAAGCAAGTATTTAGGGTAGGGTTTATATCGATAAGGGTGGTGGAAACTTCAATTTGGCAAGTATGGACCAGAAAAGAGATTAAAAACATACACGCAATAAAGGCGCTTTAAACAACCTTATCTAGCCATGAAATAAATCGATTTTATATGACTAATCGCAAAGTCCAATGCGTGTGCAATTATTTCATTTTAATTACCAGGCTACTTCTTGATTTTTCAAGATATTTTTAATATATATCTTATTAATATGAGGCTTGACAAAACCAAATTTGTTTGCTTTTTCCATTGTATTCAATAATTGAAATGTAGTGTAATCAAAAGTTTTAAACGTTCGAAGTTTTTGAAGTTGAATGTAATGAATATAAGAGTATACAAATATACATACTGTTTAGTTCAGACCTCTTATTTGCTCAAAATATGGAAATATTAATTTTATTAGTTGCTGCAAATTTATTATTTATAATACATATACAGGGTGATTCAAAATCGGCGTAATTTATCTAGGGGTATTTAAGGAGCTGAGGGAAACTAGATAAAAAATTAATTCGTATCAAAAACTCAGGTATTTGCCAAGAACTAGTTCAGATGGACGGCAACAAGGATGTTTTTCAAGGTAATCTGCCTTACTAACATTAAAACCCCGACGGTACATTGAAAAAAATGTCTGGAACACCTCCTATAAAATTGTATGTTAAACATTGTGGTGATTGGAGGTGAAACGAAATTCTTAGATATGAGTCAATGTGTTTGAAAAGAAAAGTTTCGAAATGTGGACTCACAAGAGGTGTTCGAAGTTCTGCCCGTTTAACTCCAAACAGGTTTGTTCCCGTGTAATCACGTTATGGTGCACTCTTCGCAGCATTACTGAGTTCACATTTTGAGCAGCTTCTCGTATTCAGTTAATTAACTCTTGCTCAATTGGTACCGGTGTCCGGTAGACCAGAGATTTAATGTGACCTTGCGACCTATGTATCTTACATAAATGGTAGGGATTGGGTAGCCCTTCGTCGGTAATTATCCGATATACAGTTGCTTGAGGAAGTGTTATGTTACTGCGAGATTCCCCCATAACTAGGAGCATATACCTATCCGCATATTCGAAATTGGTGTACATTTGTGAAAGGACCTTCAAACAAAAACAGTTTGACAAATGTTTGTTATTCTTGACAAAAGCTATCTTCTTCTAACTACCTGATAATGACGAAAAACGTCGTTGTTGCTTTGACATTTCATCAAGAAATTGTAACAAAGAACTTTTTCAATATCAAAAATGAACATAACTTGAAGCAAAGATGGACATTTTCTTTTTTGAATGCTTAAGTATTCCAATAGGCTACCAATCAAACATGGGACCATTTCACACTTCGCAGTATGTACCTGAGGTAACTTGTTTCCCTTCTCCTAACATTTTCGAAAAATTCCCGTTCCGCCAGAGTGGATCTTAATCGGAGAACGTTTTCGTTTTTCACATGATTGAAATACTAGCATTTTCAATAAGCGTTTTTTCAATGGTACCTTACCAACGCTGTATTAATTCCGACCCCCAACCTAACCCACATACCAAAATACAAAATATATTAATAAGACTAGTCTAGCCGTGGATTAAATGATTTTTATTCAGGAGTAAATAATACAACTGATAAAATGGAATGCTTTAATATTACCAAATTCAATGTATCAAATTTGCGCCTGATTTTTTTTCAATATGTATTCGTCCTGTTGCCCGTAAAGCGTAGGACGTCATTCCTTCAACCTGGTGAGTTTTGCTCCTTTTTAAGCCATCGTGAACTAGACTTTCTTCCAGACGTTTCCCAAGCACGTGTGGCTTGCGTCTTCAGAGGCGGTTTGTTCGAAAACTTACATAATGGTAAGGAAAAGTGTAAGAGCTTGCATAGTAATAGTTACAAGCACCGATGCGTGTAAAATCTGTTAATTGCCCCCTATATTGATGCAGCAATTTCATGTTATACAAAAAAGTTCTAACCATTATGCAGTTATCATATTAGTCACTTATTATCAATCAAGTTTTGCGTCACAAATTCAATAATTCTTAACGAGTTTGTCACAGATCAATATTGATGAATTCGATAATTGCACCTATAAAATGCCCCGCAAATCCCTCTAATTCAATCTTAAAAATGATCTAAAGAACATCACATCAGCAAATAATAATGTACTTTTTTGGGTTCGGCAATAGAGGGCAAGATAACCAGCAGCTATCAAAGTTATGGTATAGTTTTGCAGGGTTTGAACCAAGGATGAGCAACACGCGGCCTATTCAAAAAATTGAATTTATGATATCGACTTTCTCCCATCAATATATTGTTATAAAATCAATTATAAGAAAATAGAAGTACATACTGAACCGAAACAATTTTTGACGAGTTACTTGTCCCACTTGTGGGCGACTTGTTCAAACATGCAATACAAACTAAACTTTCTTAAAACTTTCAAATGTTATTATTTGTACAAATCCACTTAGTTAATCCATAATAGCATGTCAGTAAAGCAAACAAAAAAACGGAAGGTTGCGGATGAGCATAGGCATTTTCAAGAAAAGCGGAAATTTCATTATTTTTTCACTTTCGTCAAAGATAAAGCTGTATGGTTAATATGCTCAAAAACTGCGTCGACATTAAAAGAATATAGCATAAAAAAGCATTACGATACAAAACATGAGCAACATGTTGATTTGATGTAAATTGGCCCGTTGATTAAAATGGTTGCTCACCTCTGGTCTAAACATAAGACGCTGACCGCCTTTTTTCAGTTTTATACAAGAATTATCTAAAAATTTGAATGTTATATATTCACCTGTAACGTAGTTTTTTTGAGAATATTGAAAATTGTCTTAATAAAAAGTTCACTAAAAGTCAAAAGAATAAGTTGAATTACAGAGAAGTTTACTAAGAAACTGAAAGGTTTTTGAAATCTATTTTTTTGCTGAAAAAATATTTTTTCTTAAATACAAGAGTAAAAGAGTCATCTCTACGATAGTACACTACCGTACATTAAATAATAGAATTGTGATTTAATGTACATTATTAAGTGATTTCTACACATGCAATTATTGCATGATATTTTGTTCTTAGTTTAAATTATTTATTTACCCAATTATTTAATAAAAATTGAATGACGTAGTAGTCAATTCGTAGGCAATCATAATTAAATCAAGATATTTAAGAGAACCAAATGTTTCGAAATACTATAAAAAGAAAGGAAAATTAATGCAGTGCCAAAATGTGATATTAATTATAATTTTAAACTACACACGAGGATAGTCATATATTAGGCCTTTTCCATCGTTGCCAAACGATAGCGCCTCTACCAAATTTTACAATCGATTTAACTAAGAGCGCATGAGCGGGGTTCAACCGTCCAGACATTGAGGCTGATAGCTTATTGTACAGTTCCAAGGTACAGAAAGAGAAGGAAGATAAGAGGCTCGCGTTGCTTATTTAATCATTTGAAGAATTTTAACCTGAAAAGAGATAAGACAATGCGGTTGTAATGAGTGGAAAAAAGATGCAAGATCGCAATCATATTTTATATTACAAACATGGCGATATCGACGATTGACAAGTGATTGTTTTGTGGTCTTGCTGGGAATCGGTCGCAGAAAAGTGCAATAATATTGTTTTCAATGTTGGAAATTAAACAAACGGGAGAATGTGCAATGTGACCTAATCGAAAACGTGATCTAAATCGTTTTTTGTTGTGTTTTCGTTCATGTGAATCGGATTTACCATCGAATGTTTCAGTTATTTTTCTCCTCTTGAGAGATGACAATGGTGGTGCCAAAGGAGTGTTTCATGAACCAGTGCTGAATTTGCCAATAATTTTTCTCAGATAAATATGAATACGGATTACGACTTTAACTCTGAAGAAAACGCATCAAAATGGAAGGGTCTTTTGACAGCTGCTCTGAAAAAAGTAAGAACTATCATCTCAAACAATCATCATTAAAGCAGTCGAAGAAAATTTTAATTTTTATATATAATGTACTAAAATTTACTTAGAAAGCAACGTCCTAAATGGTTATTTATAGTTCTCGCCCCCCATTAATACAGTTTTCTTCAAAAAATCCATAGTTACTTTCACTTAAGAGCAAGAACAACTTTGCTGGGCAATGAACAAAAGAATATAGCACTCGCACTGATCTAAAAACAAATCATGTACTGAAATATTTCTATTTAACAATGTCCGATGGAAAATATATAATGAAATATTGAGCTTTGGTACTCTCACCTAAATAAATTATAACCTTGTAACTATCATTCGCATTTATCAGGAATAGTGCAATGATTGAAACATCTAAACACTTACCTAGTATCTATTGCTGACAATATAAGTTACAGTAAATTAATGTTTCTAAGAACTTACTGAAATTAGCGTAACTCAGAAATTAGTTACAAAACTAGTTTATAGTCATTGGGACATTCTTCCAATATGTGCTTATTAATGTTTGTTTTTCTGTTACTTTTGCTCTTAAAAACGTATATCTAACATATACTAAGTATTTGCGAGTACTTTACACACTGAAATCCCGTATACGTCAGTCCACATCTCCTACTTACCTACATGTTATACATAAATATACGATAGGAAATATATTGTCTACGTGAGGCTTTTGTTCTGTTGCATGTGTACCTCACAAAGGGATTAGATACATGAGGTATTATAAATATTTGCTGGTTTAAAAAAAACGAAGTTTTAATAAACTGTTTCATTCATCATTGCATTCTATACTGTTATTTTATTATTTTCATACATTCCAGACAATAGATTCATTTGGAGTGTCCCAGGAAATCCCTCCATTTATTCAAATAAGGAACAGACATATATTTTCAAATTGCTTTTATTTTTAGGTTTTGGAACAAGTTCATCCGTCGTTAGGTGCGAGAGAAGAAGCTCTAGATTACGTAGAGAGTTTGTGTCTTCGACTTCTGGGCATGTTATGTGCCAAACCTAGTCCACATACTGTCCAGGTAATAATTTACAATGTGTAACAATAGTAGAAGATCCAAATGTTTAAATATCAGTACATAGATAACATATTATCTGTAATATATTTCATGAAACACTTTGTTACGATATAATTGTTATTACCTCTTAGAATATTTAAACCAATCTACATTTTAACTCGAATATTAAAACTTTAATATCTCCAATATTCATCGCTTACTTAAAACTTAAAACCTACTTGTCATAAACTGTATGTTTAGTTTTGTAATCTTGAAAAATTATTCAACGTCTTACGAAGCATCCTGGAATGTCATTATGTTGTTTAGTTTGTTGTTGAACGACTTGTAAGTTTTATACTAATTGATCGATTTTAATATTTTGTGTGTGTGTAATTTGGAGCTTGCTTTTACCTTAAGGGTAAAACATGTTGATGAAATATTGATTGATTGAAATAACATGGCTCGGTGTTTTCCTCATTATTTGCCATGGAAAATAGCAAAACACCATTTTGGGTTCTTGAAATAATAGCTACCAAAAAATATATCAAAATCGGTTTTTTTCTGATTAGTTAAATAGTTAAAAACGATTTTTTCCGAATAGCAAATAAAAAATTACTACACAGGGCGTTTAAAAAAGTGATAAAAACATGGCTCGGTGTTTTCTTCATTATTTTCTTTGGAAAGAATGAATCAACATTTCATCCGCTTGACCCAATAGGCAAAAATTAAGATAAGCTATACGATAGCTTATTAAATAAATAATTATAAAGTAAGCTATACGCTTACAAAACGTATATTCAAATGGGTTAATTGGTATGATAGAAACCTGTAAACTTTCAAAATAATGTGGTGCGCTACTTTTTTGGAATTGAGTGTAGTCGCATATCAATGGCAGGTGCAAAAGTGTATACTGATTCCTTAGAACGTGGCTACTTATTGATAGGATTTTGGAGCTGCTAGTTATTAGGAATACTAATGTTTTAATTATTTTAGGATGTTGAATCACGCGTGGAGAACACCTTTCCTACACCCATCGATAGATGGGCCCTTAAAGAAGCGCAAGAAGCTCTAGAAAGGGGAAAAAAGAAGTCAGTCCTTTTGTTACCCGTGGATCGGATTCATAATCTCCTGCAAAAGGTAATGATGTTTTGATTGGTTTTAACGAACAACTTTTAATTTTTAATTTTTGGTATATTTCAGGAGCTGCTGTTGTACAAAGTTGATTCGACAGTATCATTGTTTCTAGTCGCCGTCTTGGAATATATATCAGCAGATATACTGAAACTAGTCGGAAATTACGCCAAAAATATCAAACATGTTGAGATTACGTACCAAGATGTGCAGATATCCATGAAAGTAGATAAGGTATGATTTTCTGCTTTGTTACAAATGTTATAATAAAATATGTGTACCATTATTTTCCCAGAACTCGATAAGTACACTCAAGTTCAAATTTAATCTTAATTATTCCGAGACATTTGATTAATTTGTAAGAATATATGGGCCGTTTTCTATGAACGTGGTAGTAAGTGACATTTCGTTAATGATATTGAATTTACTTTTCTGCCACGAAGTGTATCTATGAGCAGTTTTTGTAATACGTCATTCAAAATGTGCAATCTTTTGTTAGTATCAATTCATTAATTGGAAATAATAAGTTTAGTTTAAACTGCGTATTACATAATTTCTACATATTCTCTTATGTGTGGCAACACTGAGTTCTTTTTATAAAGTTTCCGCTAGCGCTAGATGATAAATAATAATGAACGTGAGAAATTTGTCTTTTTTGAATATGTGACTCCGTACTTACTCATAATGGTTTAGGACGGTGATAAAATTTGGTTGGGTTCTTTTTACAGTGTTGTTTTAGTTTACAAATACATATTTACAAAAACATACTTTTTTTCAACTTAATCTCACGTTCAAGAAATATTTTTTTACACAGTCACTGGCGCACACGCTCTTTTACCGCTGGATCGTCGCGAAAACGCTTCTTAGGTTAAAAAAGATGAAAGTCTCAAGGTGACAAGTCTCAATTGTAGGAGGAGCTTTCATCATTTTTAACCCAAATTTGCCCAATTTTCTCTGGTAGCGGTTGTTGAATGAGACCTGGTCTTGTGAAGTAGAATTATATTTTTGATCAATTGCGTATTTCTGTGTTTTTTTGCGGTATGCAGAAGCTCACAATTTTTTGTCTACACCGAACTTCCTTTTCCGTATTCTTTTCCACTCCATTCTTATCTCCATTGACGTTGGAGTGTAATAAAGGGTCCCCATTTTATGAGGTTAGAATTCGTTTCAAAAACGCCTCATCCTCTTGCGGAAATCAATCCAAGAGGCGCTGGGAAACGTAAAATCTCCAATGACTGTTGCTTCCGCTCGACTGATAACAAAGGCGAATTCAATCTGGTGGACACTTGATGGAATTCCAATTTTTCTGTCAGGATCTCTTGGGCACGCTATTTAAGAAGTTTATGCACCTTTTGTCCTTTGCTGCAATGGCTGCGGTCAAGCCCTTTCTTCGGCTGGGCTTCAGACCTTGGAAAATTCTTTGAGCCGTGCAAATGCCCTGGATTTTGACAGAGTCTTATCCCCAAGCTATGTCCCCAATCTTCGTAATATGTCTAATAGATTCACCCCCTCTGACCAAAAATATAATTCTGTTGCTCCACAAGGATGTGCACTGTTTTTTCATGTTTATTTGGTCGTTGTTCTGCCGTCCCTACCCACCCAGACTACTAAGAAATCTTCACCTGTGTGATATTAAAGCAAACAAACTAATTCAGTTTGTTTTCTATAAACCTTTATTCCATGAATACATCTTGGAATATTCCATCATTTTGCTTCTTATGTTCCAAATTTAATAAAAAGCCGAGTTGAATCAAGCGAATTTGCAAATATGTTTTTGAGTCGACATGATATGTCGCACAATAAGTGGGGAATCTTTTGGGTCCTTATAGAACAGAAAATAAATACATTTTTTAATTTGCCTGCTGTTTGTCTACGGCTCCTTCAACGGATAACCGGGCCCACAAATTAGGTGTTTCAATCATCATTTTTTTAATAAAAAACGTCAAGAAATTATTGGTATACGTGAATATTTTTTTATATGATTTACAGCAGATTTATTATTTTTTTATATGATAATATGACTGAGCAGACAGCAGTTTAAAAACTCATTAACACTTTTTCCTTATTTACTTTGCCAGCACAATAGGATCATTTTTACACACTATGATAGAGACACAAGAATTATATTTTCAAATACGGGAAACTTCAAAAAACAAAAGGTACTTTTTTCGATATCAATGAAATGAACAGTTTTAGAGAAAATTTAGTTTAGGTAATATTTTGATAATGTACATTTTCTGGTTCTAATAATCACGTTTCATCAATTCACCCTGTCCCTCTGTAAGAGGACATGGTTTCCATTCTTTGTAGATTTTGAAAACGGTGTAAAAAGTCGTATTGAGTATCAAAATAATATTTTTTTGCTACTTGCAAAACAATTACTTATTAACCTGAAGTCAATTTAATTCAGGAAAATGTATTAACATTTATTTTATAAACCATTTTTCAATACACACAAAACTGTTTTATTTGAGCATAATATAAAATGGACTTCTACTTTCAAAGGAAACGGCTCATATCTTATTTTGATATTTGAATATGTATATGGCTGCAACGTGAGTGTCTGGAACATGCAGGATGTGGTTTGCGAATATTATTATGATTCTTTACATATTGTTATACGAACGTCCTAGATGTAATTATTGTTATACACTGGCTACACAGAGTGATTCAAAATTGACGTTGTCCTGAACGAGGGATATACATTTTAGAGTATATGAAGATGTACGTACGGTATCGACCCTACAGTTTGCCACTGCTGAAAAAGATTATCTTTAAGAGTATGTAAGTACATTTTGGTCGACAGGTAAATTCACTTCTGTTCTACTGTGTGAAATCAAATCCGCTTCCCAATTCTGTGAGAGAAAAACGGACAACAAATTCTATACTTAACCACCGGAATTTTAATTATGTTAAGAGCATACAATTTGCGATTTACAATTAATTTGAATATTTCAATACTTTTGCAAATTGATAACATACACAAGATCTTGTCTGTGGTCGGTTTTAGAAATATATCTTTAGAATAATTTGAAAAAGATGGTTCATCTTTATTTGGCCAAGCTTGTTCAATCTTCATCTACCACGTTATTATCAACCTGACACTTTAAGGCTGATAATTGTCTGAAATGTTTAAGCTCAAAGCTACCGACTATTAAGTATCAGCTTTGTTTTGGTTTTTCCTCTCTCTTAAATATTCTCATTTATTGTTGCTCAAATATCAGATAGGATAGTGTAACTCTTACTGTAGACCATCCGTAAATTTGAGCTCTTAATGGAAAAACCAAATGAACGGATTTTAATTTAGTTTGTCTCATATTGTAGGTATGTATTTTTAATACTTGAAAAAAGTATTAAACTTTTTTTCAATAGTATCAACGGTTTAAAAGTTATGCGCAACTTATTTAATAATTTAAACAATGTTCTACAGCCGGAAATCGCACTCAAACTATTGTCCCAATATTCTGACATCCTTTCAAACAACTTCCAATAATCTTTTACCTTCACCTATTTAGTGCCCGAAAAAATCTAATCCGACTGAACTAAGTAGGTACGTCAATTTTGAATAACCTGTATACATGCATTAATTTAATTTTAAACAGTTGCAAACTACGAAAGTATTATTTAACTCAGTAACTGCATTGCCAGTTAACTTGCCTACGGCCTTTTATGTCAGTAAATTAATTAGGTATTTTTGCATATGTAGGACTTTTTAACAAACAAAAAATCGGCTCAAATGACACAAATATACGTCTTTAGTTTAGTAAATAGTCGCTATAAAAACTGCTTTTTGCTTTTCACGCTGCGCCACAAGCCCACATTCATGGTACGTAGCGGTTATTATTTTTTTTTATATACTTATCGGTGTTTTAATTCTGCATGGTACACACTTTACTTGAATTGTACGAACGATTTGACTTAAGCACCCGCTTAAGGATATTTGAAATAGATTGGATTTAATAATTAAAATTAAAGATATATTCACACATTGGGACTATAAGGTTTATTTTGAACTTTTAACGTCGTTTTTTGTGCCATAGTCGGTACTGAGGACATCTTCCAATTTCAGTATGTATCGTTTTAATTATCTGGTTTGAAGCTGTTATTTAATTTATTATATGAATTTATATAATATGTTTAAAGAAGGATTTTTTTATTAAAGAATTAAAAAATATATATCTGCACTGCTCCGGCAAACAATGACAGGAAACAATATGTGACAATAATTCTGCAATGTTTTATTATCATTTGATAAATTTGCATTCACCATCGAATCTTAGGATAAATATGTGAATATATTTTTAATTGCTTCAGAAAATGTACATAAACACAAATATAGTTAGTTTTTTTTATAGATTTTGAATTATTAGAATTTTCTTTCTCATAGTCCTGTTTTTCATGCTTCTTAGATCATTTTAGCAGTAATTCTTGGGCTATGCTAGTAACATTATTAGAGAAAATATACCAAACATTTTTCTAAACCCATGGTTTTCAAGAAATTAGCGGCTTGTATGGCAAATAAAGCCGCAGCAAGGCCTAATAAAATCTATTTAAAATAGCCTGAAATTCTAACGGACACAATCTTATATGGCTCTAGCTTCTTTTCAGTTGCTTGCAATGCATTTAAGTTTGATTAATCTTTTTTTGTTGCCTAACCTGTTAAGTGTTTGTCCTTTTGCAACAAAGTTTCGTGCACACTAAAAAACCTGTTTATTATTCTGAACACATTTAAATAAACTTCGCACATATGCATGTATGTACAGTTTTAAGCACCTGTTTGATCTATTTAAGCTATATGATCTTATAGTCTCTCGGACTGTTAACGTGATTTTAATTGGCAATAGAATTTATATATTAACCGACTTATTCCTAAAAGGAAGGGGAACTCATAAAGTTGGTATCAATTTTGATTAACTCCAGTGTTATCAACCTGTAATTGCTATTGGTAAGCTGTTGAATAATTCACACTATCAGTCTTATTGACAGAGAATAGAAGAACACCGACCCCCAAAGTAATTGAAAATCGAGCAAATAGTTTTTAAATTGCTTATCTGCTGGTTCAGATAATTTTTAATAACTTTTAAATCGACTGTTTGCACGATTTTTTTAGCTTTTATTAGTGTATTATTTTTATATGCTTTAAAAACATTTCAGGCCCTTATGGACATGTTCTATCAGGATGAAGGTGGAGGTAATTTAAGCGAACGTTTAAGTGAGAAATTAGTGTTATCAGCACCGCGCACTAGTCTGACATATGAAGAAACAGTGAGAGAATTAATAGCTTCTGAAAAGGCTTACTTGAAAGAATTGCATATGATAATTAAAGTTTTTAGGTAAGAATAGTGATCTTTATTAAAATTATTATAAAAAAGTATCAGTATGTCATATTTAATATTTAGTCAAACAATTTGGCGTGATGTAATTGGAAACAAATAATTTTAGAGAGGAAATTAAGAAGCTAACAAAGGACCCAAAAGATATAGAGCACATATTTTCAAACATTATGGACATTTATGAATTAACATATACATTAACTGGTAGCTTAGAGGATGTCATGGAAATGGCACAAGAACAAATGCCGTATATTGGCACTTGTTTTGAAGGTATTTTTATGTAATTTATAAATACTTGACCCGAGTTCAGATGATGTCATACTCCATTCTTAATTGTTATTGAAAAATACATATGTTTAATGCCGTTTACAGAGCTAGCAGAAGCAAAGGAATTTGATGTGTATTGCAAATATGGGCGAGATGTAACAGAGCCAAGATGTCGTCAAACTTTATTAGAATTATTGTCGAGACAGCAAGCAACTGTTAATACAGCTGGGCAAGGCATGCCCCTGGCTCTAAAGTATTATTTACCAGCTTTGTTAACACATCCAATTTGGCATTTTTTCTCCTACATGGACTACATTAGGTAATATTTTACACACATTTACGATTTTGTAAGATTGAATGCGTCCATTAAAAAATATAAATATAGTGACAACTTCTCAAGAATTAGCAATAGGTGATCCGGTATAAAGGTTTTTCGTTTTGATACATGAATGTAATTATTTTGGAAATATTGCAGATTATTGATTGGTTTAACCCCAGCGCCGGAAGATAGAGAAATGTTGACAGAAGTTCAGGGGATGTTAAAACCTCTCAAAGATGAATTAAGTGAGTATACTTTTATTCAAATTCTTTTGTTTGAGTTTTACCCTAATCGGCAATTGATTTTCTAATAGCGCATTGTGTACCGTCGCAACCGAATCCTCGCGGATCAGCTACATTGAATCAAGTTAAAACTAGACGCTCAGCTGCAATAGAAAAAATTCAAGAACTAGAAAAAATAGTTGAGAACTGGGATTCTAAAGACCTAGGGCAATGTTGCAACGAATTTGTCAGAGGTATATATAATTTAGATTCTTGGACATGTAAACTAGGAGATTCAAATTTACACGTTTTAATCCGTTTAAACAAACCAGCGATTGGGTGAAACATGTGACTTTACTTCTAATTTTAGAGGATGTACTGACTAAAGTTAGTCAGAATCAGAAAAGACTGACTGAACGACGCGTGTTCCTTTTCGATGGTTTGATGGTTTTGTGCAAAACTTCATCTCGAAGGCAAAGTTCTGTTCACCACACTCCTCATACATGTAGACTGAAAGAAAGGTTTTTTATGAGAAAGGTATTGCAAACTCATATATCTATGTATATGATGTCAATTTTGTACAAATTTGATTTGAAATATCAATGTGAATTAAGATATATCGGCTAACTTTTATGTAGACAAATTTCTGCCGTGATTTATTTAAACTAGCCATTTATGTTTTTTAGCTCATGTTTAACTTTTGTTCTTAGGTTGAAATTAGGGACCATGAAGATACTGATGAGTTGAAACACGCTTTCGAAATTATACCTAGACAGACACCTAGTGTAATGTTGTGTGCAAAGAGCCTGGAGGAAAAAAACTCCTGGATGGCCGATCTAGTCATGTTAAATAATAGGTAAGTTTATCTAATTAGTCCAGTAGCTAAAATGGGTAGCTTCTATTCTTTCCTTGCAGGTCTATGTTAGAAAGAGTTCTAGATAGTATATTGTCGAGGATAGAGCAACAGCATCCTTTGAAGTTGCCACCCCCGGAACTGTATAAATTTGCGGAACCCGATAGTACTGATAATATTCTTTTAGAACAGCTAGAAAATGGTGGTGGTGTACCTTTAATAAAGGTGAATTATTAATGATCTTCAATAATATTTTGTAGTGATTTGCATTTGTAGACCTGTGGCAATGGATGACAGTAATAAAAACTTTAGTAGCATATTTTAGAATTAATCTTCTTAACTATCGTATAGTAAATAATTTGTAATGTATCTGTTTTTTTAGGGAGCTACATTGTATAAACTGGTAGAACGGCTTACGTATCATATTTACGCAGATCCAAAATTTGTGCGTACATTTTTAACCACCTATAGGAGTTTTTGTTCTCCTACGACTTTATTAAATATGCTTATAGAAAGGTAAGTGGCATCAGCTAACTTCTGATATATGATCACTTATACTTAAATTTTGTTTTTTTTTCATAGATTTCATATTCCTGATCCGTCAAAGGTGTATGAGCAGGACCCTTGTGATACAGATAAAATACAAAAAAGTAATCAAAGAGAAGATTGGAAAAAATATAGGAAAGAATATTGTCAGCCCGTGCAATTTAGGTAATCATTACATCCAATTGTCGACTTTTTGAAACACTGCAGCAACTGTTAGTTTTTACATGAAATTATTTAACGCTTTATTAACAACTACTTTCTCTTGAAAAATTAAAATTTCAATGTGTTTGAAAATTCACCAAATTGCTTTCAATAAATTAGACAAATTCAAAGATCTTAAAATTGGCTTAAGAGTATATTGTTTGACGTGCGGTATTAATACGAAATATTCACCGGTGTGTATTGTTTCAGGGTATTAAATGTTGTCCGACACTGGTTAGATCATCATTTTTACGATTTTGAAAGAGATCCAGAATTGTTGCAATTATTAGAAGACTTTTTAGAATCAGTTGGTAGCCAAAACATGAAAAAGTGGGTAGACAGCGTCAAAAAGACAATTAAAAGAAAGGTGACAATAAATTGTGTTTATCATTGAATAAGATATTTTATCAAACAATATTGCTGTTTCTCTATATGTTCAAAGCAATTAATTTTAATTTTACAAATGTTTAATAATTTAGAAAGAAAATGATACGCAGCGGCACAAAAATGCCTTTGTCGAACGGCCTCCACTTATCGAGTGGCACATACATTGCAACGAGGAAGAGTATGGATTACTAACATTACATCCGTTAGAAATTGCTCGACAGTTGACCATTATAGAATTTGATTTGTATCGGTAAGTTTTCGAAATAAGGCAACGCGGTAGAATTGGAACTGTGGAAGAAACTCCTTTTCAGGATGATTAAGCCAAGTGAATTAGTAGGCACGGTCTGGACCAAGAAGAACAAAGACTTGACTAGTCCAAATTTACTAAAAATGATTAAACACACAACAAATGTAAGTTTTTATCTCAGCGACTTTAGTTTAATTGTAATTATTAATATTAAATTAAATTTAATAACTAACTTATAATTTAAGACACTAAATTATAAGGTTCGGATCATTTATGTGTACTGAACGTATTTTTTAATAGTTTACCAGGTGGTTGGAGAAGAATATTGTAGAGGCCGATAATTTTGAGGAGAGGGTGGCAATTGTGAATAGGATATGTGAAATTATGATAGCTTTAAATGAAATGAATAATTTTAATGGCGTACTTGCAATTAGTTCTGCAACTCAATCCGCTGCTGTCCATCGTTTGCGGTTTACGTTTCAGGTAAAACATTGATTAAAAATGTCTTATTTTAATCTTGCACTTATAAATTCCTATAATTTTAGGCAATCACGCAACACTATAAGAAAATATTAGATGAATGCAGTAAGGTCGATGATCATTTCAAAAAATATCAAGAAAAGCTTAGATCTATTAATCCTCCATGTGTACCATTTTTAGGTAACATTTTTAACCGCATTTCATTTAGAACAGGTGTTAATTTTTTTTTCTAGGAATGTACTTATCTAATATTCTTCACATAGAAGAAGGAAATCCTGATTATTTACCGGGAACTCAATTGATAAATTTTTTCAAACGGCGAAAAGTGGCAGAAATAACCGGTGAAATACAGCAATATCAAAATCAGCCGTATTGCTTTAAAGTGGAGCCACAAATAAGAGTAAGCATTTATTTAAACAATTTTTAATTAGGTTTATTTATGATTTGTGTGTGTTGTAGAATTTTCTTGAGAATCTCAATCCGTTTGCGGATATGTCCGATACAGATATTCAAAACTATCTATACCAAAAATCGATGGAAATTGAACCTAGAGGTTGTAGGCAGTTGCCAAAATTCCCAAGAAAATGGCCTCAGTTGAATTTGAAAAGCCCTGGAATTAAGGTATTTGCTCCAGAATAGGTTGTAATGCAACTTTATATGTTTAAATTTAAAAAAATATTAACAAAAAATGCGTAATATGATATTATTTTTAGCCCAAAAGAAGTGCTGGCAGTGTAGTGGCAAATGCTGTAAATACAATGAGCTCTACAATCAAAAGTGATGACAGTAAAAGCGAGGACTCTTCAAAAAGTGACAATGATTTCAGTGTATTTGCTCCGGTAAGTTGGATATTATAATCATATATCGTCTTTAAAGTGTATGAACGAAACCATCTAATACGCTTGATGATTTCCAGGTTCAATTAGGTACCGGGCAAAGCAGTCCTACACTAAGTCCAAACTCTCCAGCAGCTGCTTCGAATTCCAGAATACCCTGGTTTACACACACACGTAGCCCCAGTGTTAGCTCGGTGATATCTACGGCCTCTTATAGACCTGCAAGGACTTCTGAAAGTGGCTCGAGCTTTTCTGTGCACTTGTAAGTAATTTTTGAAGACTATTTTTCATGTTTGTTTAAAGTTCTGCATATTTTGTACTAAATCATTGAACAATTTAGTTCGTTTGTTGATTTATTATTTAATTGGTAATTAATTTCTTGCTGGCTAATTGCTGATTAAAAATATGTTTTTATTTGAAGATCTCATCGTCATAGCCATTCTACAAGTTCGACAGGGGCACCGAACAGCCCTGGAGCACCCCACACCCCTACTTCGCCTCATCCACCTTCGTCCGCCGAACCAAACAGCCCAAGATTGCCCCCGACACCGCCTCCACTTCCTCCAAGGCGTAGGAAAGACAGTCCCGAAATTAATTCACCTCAACAGGTACATATTTTAATTATAAAATATTTTTTTTAGGTCAAATTTGGAAGAAATGTGTTTAGAAAATTACTCAATTTTCAAATTCGGGTCATTTCGCTAAAGTCGCGTCCAGGCAAAAAACCGAATCTTATAGTGTAACATGTTCGTTTACATTGTATACACGTCTTGTTTTTTGTCTGAACGCGGCATACCGTGGTACGGTTACACGACTATACGCGGCTTAATGTGTTTTCCGTTCATTTCGACCAACTTTATTCTATTGAATGTAATTGAGGCTCTATTTTATTAAGAATTGGTTAATCTAAATTTGTATGCATGCCTTTGTATCCATGCCTTTACAGTTGTTTACACAATACTTTTCTTTTTACGAAATGAAATGGAACATAAGAAATGGTCAGTTACTGTACGGTTATAAAAAAATAATACGTATTATTTTTCAACCAATTTATTTATTTATGCAGTAATGCAAATTAGCCAAATAAAATAAATTATTATTATATACATTCTTCAACGATATAGAACTTTGCGGGACAGTCCGTAAGTAACTCGTTTATTCTAAAGTATTTATGGTATTTCATTGAAGCTTATTTTATCTCTAACTTATTTAGACCTTCTAGGAAAAGCATTATCTCTAGATTAGTAGCGGTTCGTGGGGAAAGAGTATGAGGGTTTAGAAAACCGTTATACACTTTGCGTAAAAAAGCAGATTAATTTTTTACGGAAGAGGCCTAAAACGATAAAACAATGAAAACATTTACAGTACAAGTATATAACTATATAACTAAGTTGATATGAAATAAAAAAACACTTACTCAGCTACTTCATACTTAAACAAAAAGACTAATCGACTGTTTTATATTTGCGCAAAAACTGTTTTAAAAATAATTTTTCTCCATGCGTAGTATGTATTCCAAAGATTCTCTTAAAAGTTCAGCATTTTCGCAAGTTACTCTTACTGGTCGGGCATTTGCATTCGTTGCTCTCTAGTTGCTAGTCGTATATTGCACGGTTGGCAAAGTTGAAAACTGTCAAATTTTCAATATTGAAAAGTTAGTTGAAAACTATCAAATTTTCAATTTTGGATTAATGACCATCCACGACTCGAAAATTTGTCTACTTAAGGGCGATCGTTTATCTCACAGGTGCCGTTGCTCATTGTCTTTCACGGCATTGAAACTTCAATAATGTTTGCAGAAAGTGCAATGGAAACAGCTCAAAATGAATGGATATTAAATGTACTTTTAATACCGGTGTTCACTGCAGTGTTGAACCGATAGAGAATTCGCCGCTGCTTTTCGTTAAGTTCACTTTAGCGCAAATGGTGACAATGCGTAGATTCGCTTTGCCACAACTCAAATCAATTGTTTGTGAGTCACAAATCAATTGTCAGATTCTATGTGGTTTCCGCAGTATGAAACATTTCGACATTATTCACGAAAGGAAGGTTTTACCGGATGACCAGCTAGGTCACCATGTCCAACCTCAACCTATTTATTAATTTTCTGAAATATTATATACACTAGAATTAGAGCTGAAATACACCAAATCCAACCAGAAGCGTTAACTGAAATGTTACCCAAATCTGAATTTATCACAACCAAAAATAAAATTTCCATCCGCGGTTATGAAATGGCGATTTATCGCTTTTTGTATTGTTCCATTTCATTTCGTAAAAACTGGATCAATAATTGTGACTTAAAATGGGACCCCAGTGCACTGATATGTGTTTCCAGGCGAAGCAAGCAGCCGATGCCCCTCCGTTGCCCCCTAAAGACCAGTCACCGCCCCCTTTACCACCTCGTCGTGAACCCGGTGTGTCACCCAATCAGCCTCCCGTTGGATTTCACTCACACACTCTCCCTCACCCCGGTCACTATTCGCATTCGCATTCGCACTCTGGCCACGCCCCTGCTGTTGCCCCACGTTTAAGGCCTACGCACGAGAGCCAACTTCACATGCGTAGACACGCCCACATTACACCGAGAACGAGTATTCAGATACTGCAAACAGCCAATAGAGGAGTCAGGTAGGATTGATTGCCCATGTAAACTTTTTTAGTACCTTATTAATATGGAGCATGTTATTAGAAGTTTAATTATAAATAGTGTGGTACAAAAGTATGGAATAATTGAAATATCTCGCAACCCGATTTATATGAAATTTTGTCGGTACCAAATTACGCGCGGTCTGTAAGGTAAGCTTTTGCCTACAGAAAGTGTAACGCAAAATTAATTAAAATAATTATTTTTTCATAATTTTTAATGATTCATGATTAATAAATCATTCATTCATGATTAAAATTCTTCCAATGAGAAGTATTCAGACTGTCAAAGCGAATTAAAAAATCGCATAAAATGTATAAGGTTTACAATTTCCTGCACATCGGGTGACCGGATTGAGAAATATTTTGATTATTCCAAACATTTGTAACACTTTATAAGACATTATGTATACAGGGTGGTCCGAAATTGGGCTGCATAATTGTAGCTGAATATTTGACTAGCATAAATAAGGTTTTTATTTTCACTTTTATTATCTACAGCTCCAAGCGCTTATTAGTCATTTATCTAAGATTTTAGCTAACTTATTATTATTAAAATACAGACCCTATTGAAAGTATTTTTAGTTTGCAATACGGTTGCGACCAAAGACATTAATATACAGGGTGTCCATCTTTGAGAACTCGGAAGATGAAGAATAGCATTAATGAAAATATCATGGTTTTCGAGATATTTACACTTGTGAAAATCGACGAAAATTGAAATCACCTGATATTCCGGGCTATAACGCTTATGTCATATTACGAAGAAAATAGTTCTTCTGTGTTTTAGTTTCGGAAACAGTATGGTTGGAGCTCATCAAAAAATGTTGAATGCATGCTTTGGGTTTGAAAGAAAACTGAATTTATTACACATTTCTTATAACTGAATTTCTATTATCTATATACATGTTGCTTCCCACTGTAGCAAAAGATAGAAAAACGAAAAGGAGCACCATTCTTCTGGAATCTGAAATGGTATAATAAAGATAATTCCCTAAACAGTGAATATTGTTAGCCAATTAACTGAAAAAAGTACAATTTTTACCCCAATTTATCATACCGTTTCGCCGAAATTTATGAACTTTAAATRTCACATTGCAAAAACTATATTGTTTCYATTGCTGCATTTAACTACAAATTTAGATATCTAYCAATCTGTGAAAAATTAGTCYATCACGTTTTTCTATATTTTGAGTTATAATTATCATGCCATTTGTACCTCGAGAATATACATTGTATTTATGGTGTGAAGGCAGTGCAAGTAATGAGTCACTTCTCTACCGAGAAGACTTTCCTCGTGGATGGATTGGACCTCAAGGACCTATTTTACGGCCACCACGGTCGCCGGTTTTAAATCTACTAGATTTCTTTATTGTGCCTGTCTAAAAGGAAAAGTTTACTTACTTACGGCCAGCAGGCGGGCAACTGGTTTTAAGAGCCGCGCAGGAAATTAGCCAAGCTCAATGTCGCTCTAGAAAAAGAGGCCGATGGTGCATAAGGGCCAATGGGGACCACTTTCAACATTTACTTTATGTTTGATGTTACCACCTGACTTTACTTTATATTATGCGATTTCAGACTACACAAATGCTGCTATTTATTGTGCTTTTGGGTATCAAGAGGACTATTTATCTTTTGCTACAGTAGGGAGCAAAAGCTAGATAATAGAAAAGGAGTTAATAGAAATATGTATTAAAATAGGGTCTTTTTTAAATACAAWTCATACATTCAAATTCTTTTGGCAAACTTTTGAACTACGTCCATTGCCGAAACCAAACTAMATAAGAAATACATTCTGCGTAATGTTACCTAAGAGTATAAGAGAGAGTAACAGTACAAGATATGAAGTGATGTCAGTTTCGGTTAATTTAGAAAAATTTCAAATCTCGAAAACCGTGATATTTTCATTAACGGTATTTTTTAAATTTTCTGACTTATCGGGAGTGGACCTTTCATCATGCGAAGTATCGTTGATGGGGATTACGGGACACTGATTTGTTGCCAGCAACATTGTTCACTATCGACGAATGAAAATGGAAAGGTACAGGGTGTTTCCTCATAAGTTGACACCCCCCTATATCGTTTATTTCAAAAAAATTGTGAAAGTGACAGGGGTTGTTTAATTTTACTCAAATTTTTTATATCTGAATTTAAAGTAAAAATATGAAACACGGAAATGTCAAGATTTGACATAGTTTTGCTTTAATGAAACACGCTATATATTTTTTGACATACCAATAGGATTTTTTTCCGTGATTTCAAAAATATATATTTTGACTATATGTATTTGTATTAGCCGTTTTTCCTATACATATTACGTTTCAAAAATTATAAATAGCAACAAATCAAAGTAGCCTTGAAATTCGACAAGGCGCTTCCTCCACCCCATAACTTTGCCCGGAAGCACTTTTTAAAATGAAAATGTTGATATCTTGATTGGACGACCGGGTTCTATCCAATGGCTTCCAAATAGCCCCGACCTAACGCCTCTTGATTCTTTTCTCTGGGGTTATTTAAAGAATATTGTGTATGAGACTAGTTAGACGCCTTAAAATAGTGGATGCAATTAACGATATTAATATTAATCATAACCAATATATTCAAAACGTTATAAAAATTAAAATTAAAGTAGATTATTATACAGCATGTCTAGCGTTAAACGGAGGTCATACAAAATCAGTGATTCTGTGTTTATTTATTTATTTGTTTTGACATTTGTAGTAGCAATAAATTTCGCTATGCCGTCTTTCTATAGTTCTTTTATCAATTTAGATTTAAAAAATTTGAGTAAAATTAAACAACTTTTGTGTTGGTAACTTTGACAATTTTTTTAAAATAAACAATCTAGAGGGGGTGTCAACTTATGAGGAAACACCCTGTACATCTAACCATAGACATAGTTAATATTAATACAAACTGAATACGTTTAACAATAGATAACGTAATGTACGTTTGTGTTGCTGTGAATTGATTTATTGGAAGTTTATCTGATCTCCATATTAGGTATCCGCATACTAAACTCATAAATGAATACAGCCTTATAGAAATGCTTTCATCTCGATTTTATCTAATCTGCCATCAACATAAATCCGTCTGAAGATACGTGGTTAATTGAATGAAAACATATTATCTAGAAGATTGATGGAAACGGATGTGTAAGGGCTTTAGGCACTGCATTTTGATGTAAAATTAGTGTTTAATGTTGCAAATTTTGATGTAAACATTTTTAACATAGGTGTCATATTTGGTGTTGGAGTCAATTGATATTTTTTTTACTTTTTAATAATTTTGGACTCAAAGTCAAAAACCCGGAGAAAGTTGGAGTAAAAAAATTCTCTAGATAAACAGCAATCTGAACAATTAAAGGAAACCTATGGCGCAGCTTCAACTTCTAACAGTCCTGTCTTATAAAACATTTTTAGATAAGACGATTTAGGTCAAATCGGCGTAAAATTCAATCCAATCCAAGCGTGGGCTATGGAATTTATTGTTTTTGTTTGAAACGAATTGCGCTGAGCAAAACCCATCTCATGGGTTTGGAGTTTAAAGCGAAAGATTATTATTTAAGTGTAGGTCGCTCTGATTAGTGGATGTGCAAGATGCCTGCTATGTACTTTTGAATATAACTCGAAGTAATTGTAATTTTAAATTTGAAATGACGTTTTAGGAGCTGTAGCGAAACACCTTAAACAAATGTAAATTTTGCATCTCCGTGTTTTGCAAACTAAGCGCTTGTGGACTTATACTTTTTGTATTATTCTTGGTTTTATAATATGCAGTTAAAATTGTTTAACCTCGTTTCTGATCACTCTGTATAAGTTAGCATATTTTGTATGATTTTCTTTTTTTAAAGCGTTCCTCCCGCCACATCTCCGGCCAAACCACCTACGATATCGCCGCGTTACGGGTCAGGCAGTACAAGTGAGTCAAGTTCAGGTCAAATCACACCTCAACTGCCTCCAAGACCTGCCGTTCGTTCTGCGGGCATGACCTATGGAACCATGTTTCAGTACCCAAGTACTACCAATACTTAGGTGAAATGGGTATTTTCATGCTTCTTTATCGACCTTTCAGAAGTTTCTTGAAACAGGGCCAGGTTCAGTTGAATGTAAGTTTTTAAAACATTCCATTAAAAAAGTGATTTAACTTTTTAAATGCAAACTGATTCTTATCCGGTTGATTCAAAAATTTAATATTTTATCCGGCGACTTTAAGTTGAAATGCTGTTGGTTCTTTATTGGGCATATGTGATTTGATTAGTCGATTGCTATAGGTAAACTTTGCAATGGTGGTAATGTTTTTTTTATTGTGCAATATTAAATTTTATTTTTTGCGTAATCTTATTATTTAGCTACTAAAAATAAATTGCAGGAATGTTTGTGAGTGATTATATACAAGTGGAATATGATACCAAACCGCCTTTTTGCACATCAAATGTTGACTTAGTGTGTAATAAGACTAGTACTCAGTGTGGGTTAGTGTTGTTATATGTGCTGTTATTTTGTAGAACGCCCTGTTTTTACAACATTTGCTGATCATTCAAGCATTTGTTTGTATTTTAATCCCATTTTTTCATAGCGGAAAAGTTATGGGATTCATTTTAGTTCTTTCTGTTATGTTTGTATGCAACTCTTCGGTAATATGCATAGCGTTTTACCACTTTATATAATAACCAGCAAAATAGGTTATAATATAAAGTGATTATTATAAATTAGTGAAGTAAAATTGAAGTTGAACCAGCAAGTTCAACTACCGATAGTGGCGCGGCGAAACGTCAGATTACTCGGTCTTTTTTGTTGCATTTTTGTCGTTGCAGCCGTAAAATATTTGAACATTTTCTGTGTTTGTCGAGTTTTTTAATAGAGGAAATTAACTTATATAATAAATTGTTAAAAAAAAATTGTCAAAATAATTAATCATTATTAATAAAATGTTAAAATACAACCAACGCGGAATAATAGTGTTATAACTTCAAACTTAGTCTTAGTAGATGCTTCAGTTACCAGATTTGAACATGAAAACATATTTTGCCATCGGTGCCATTATTGTTTAATATCCATAATATGACAACACTGATCTACAATACTAATTACGTTTCTTATTTTCATTAAAAAAATCACTGTTTGAAATTAAAGAAAAAATGCTTTACTGTTGAGATTGATTAAGGAAGTAGTAAACAAATAATTATTAAGCCGCATTTCTCCAAAATACTCAATATAATGCATGAACTAATTAAGAATAAATTAATATACTGTTTGTCTAAGTAGTGTGATTTGAGAACGACAATTGTACAGATTACTTGCGGGATGTGATAACACAAAGTCATTTGCATGCCAATTGTTTTACTTGCAAATTGTTTAAAAGGGTATAAGTATAAGTTTTTCAGCTTGTGCTAATTTGATTAGTTAATCAACAGTTTCTCGGCGTTGAAACGATAGAAAAATTAAACTAAAATGCTTAACAACTTTCACAAAATTTATTATATTATGAAAAAGATTTGTAAAATCAACCATATTTCACCCAGTGTTTGTAGAAGGTTAGAAAGTGTACACTTGTTGCGTGTTTTTTTGAACTATACATGACGCTTATTCTAGAAATCGATACGCTTCTAATCAGGAATAACACGTTTGCAGAGAAGATTCAAAATAATGTAAACAATGTAAAGAATTATAATTAATGGCGGTTTTCATTTACCACGCCGATTTTTTAAATGTTAGACATTTTGATCAGTCTAGAATTATTTACTATTAATTAAGTCATGGATGGAAAATAAGTAAATCACAATGAGACTTTTTTTTAACAGCTGGCGGGCTTGAATCTTTTTGCAAACACTTTTTTGTTATCAGTACAAAAAAAAATTCTAAATACTGTGTATAAATGCGTGCATTAACTTTTAACTGTAACTCGAGGTCGTGATGAAATAAGTGACTCCATGAATTTGTCGCACCTGTGAAAAGAAATTTATATATTTTCATAATAAAATTCATTATTTTTTCTTGGACGTCAGAATACAGAACAGTACATTACAAAATGAATGTACGAACGAATTGAATATAATCTATCCTAAATTAAATTTTACAGGTGGATTCAAATTAGTGGATCACAATAAAGGTAATAGAATATGTAAATAATGAGGATGAAAAGAGATCTAAAATTAGAATCAGCAGTTTCAGTTATCAAGAAGTCATATAGATAAATTTGATAGAAATGAATTATATAGATGCTTTCAATAACAAATTATTTAAGGGAAAGTTTTAGTACAGCCATTAATCTTTAAAAGTATTCAATGACCTATGGATACACGTTGTGTATATATTACTATGTATATCAGTCAAATACGGCTAATGTACTGACTTTAGCCTCATATTTTTGTTTAGAACAATATTATAATGCAAAAATTCTAAATGTATCCTACACGTAAATTAAGATAAGTTGTAGATACATAACACTAAAAGTGTAATATTTTCTTATCTAGATGTTCATCAAATGATAACATTGTAGAATGGGTGGTCCGAAAATATCATTCTTTACAAATATGATATACAAATCTTCTCCTAGTGGTTAACTCACAAAGGTATATAAAGTCCGAATATATCAAATTTTGCCTTCGTTACAATAAGTGTCTGAACAATGGGTTTCAGCATTTGTCATCATCGTTTTTTTTTGTCAGACACGTTCGTAATATTTGTTGTTACGCTCGGCGTATTTTTTACCGCACTCAATAAATTCTAAATTATCTGCAAATACTTTATTCATTAGCAGCTTAATACTGTTAAAGATTAACATAAATTAATAGTTTCCATTCGAAATTTTTCAGTTTAGAATTATTTAGCTTTTTATCAGTTTGCTTTCGTTTAATATTGCCACCTTCGACATGTTCTTTATCATCAGAAAGTTGAAACGCTTGATTATACGGTTGGCTCTAAAATTTTAAGAAATTATAAGTTACCTTACGTGTCGTTACGCCTATACATGCATACATCAATAATTGATATTTTCTAAGTAAAATATTGTATAATTTGAGCGTGCAGGAGTTAGAAATTAAGTAAATTATATTGGACATTTTTCTAAGATCCGTGAGCATATTTTGAACGAGTATGTATTCCGTTATAGACTATAATTGGTTTACACAAATTAGCGTTCGAATGTTGTTTGATTTTACGCCCGTTTCTGTTATGTATAATCAAGGTACTGGTGGCTTTGACTTTATATATTTTCCGATTTCAAAAATTACTTTTTGTGTTTTTATAAAAAAAGTATATATACTTGTAATCTGTTCGTATTTTTTTGTTCAAATATTTTTTGTCTGGAAATATTTTTCATTTTGAGCAATAGCCTGATTCCAAAAATAAGTTGATATTGGAATGGAATATTCCAATCTTGAACTACATCTTGAGGATTCAGAATATGATCGCAGATCTTATAGATTATTAAATTAAATAACCCCTTGTACATATTTTGTATATAAATGTGTCATGTATTGTAGATGCCAAACGTTTGATTTGTGGTTGTGGTCTTGAATGTTTGCTTGGTCATAGATGTACAGAATGTATCAATTTGAATTTGAAACATCACAATAATTTGCAGTGCTATAAGGAACAATTAAGTATTACTTGTTATTATGAAAATAAGTAGTAGCTATATAACTATCGAGACCGCAATGTGAAATATTACTCCCTACAACTATAACGTATGGAATTGTAAAAATATTTTCCAGTTTGTAACAGAAAACACAAAGGAATTGTTAAAGTTTGCAATGTGGTTCAAATGGCATTCTATTCGATATTTGTTATTAACTGAATATTTATTTGTATCTTTTGTAAATTAGCAAAGTTTATTTGTCTGAATATTTTATCGAAATTAGATTCAAAGGTGATGACACAATTGTATTTTGAAGCACATTGCATCAAACCCTAGATTGTTTTAAACTTTTTTTGTTTATATTGTTGGAAGCTTTTCTCCTCAAAAGTTATGAATATACAAGAAGTTGGATATTTTTATCTAAAAACCGGAGAAAATCTTCCACATTTTGTTTTAATATAAATTGATTTTTTTTTAATCTGTGATAGTAGAATGAGGACCATGTTTGTAAAAATAATTAAAATATATTATATGCCCTTTAATTAAGTACAATTAAATGTATCAATGTATTGAAATTTTTAGAGTTTAATTTGCGTTAAAAAAGACCATTCTCTATTTCAGCAGTGAGAAGTACTGATGAAACGGGTGAGTTTCTCGGACTTTTAGGCGTTGTGGGAAAAAATACGAAATATGTGTTTACAGGTCCACAAAGCCTGAATTGTGTTTTATTGCAGGTGATCGCAAAATAAAGGACGCTGCCATTATCAAGCAGCCGCTTTGTAAAATCCGCACAAAAGCACACAACGCAATACGAATTCCTCAAAAATAGCAGTATATATTCCGCAAAAGCCGCTACATAAAATCTGAAAACTGCACATGTGAGCAGCATGAATATTTCAAAACAACAACTACAAACCTGATTGCCATCTACTACTGCAAAATAATATGACGTTTCGATCCAGATCGTTAAAATTGCTTCAAAACGCAATTTTCCTTTAATAAACAAAGCCATTTGGATGAACCACAAGTATGATTATAATCTTGATCTGATGTTGGACGACAAAAAACTGAAATAGTCGGACGGATTCTGACCAGTGGAATTCTTTCCTGATATGTTTATAGGATTAATTTGGAAAAAAAGAGCGAAAGCTAAATAAGGAGGACACGATCACAGCCTCTTAGGGCGCTCTAAGAGTCAAGTCACAAAGCACTAAACCAGAATAAAGTTCCACGTACCTTTAGGCGCTTTGGCCTGGATTCTGGGCTTTTTTATCTTTGGCATGAACAAAAATTCTAATTTACATCAGAAAAACACTAATAATTGATGTGTGTTCACCAAAGTGTATTCGCAGAAGAACACTCTTATTTTACCTTTAAATTGTAAAGGATCAGCTAAAAATAGTGTACTGTGGAAAATCTGTTTAAGTATTGTGAAAAATTTTAGTCGAAAGGATTTAAAGCCAGAAAACTCAAACCATCCCCATTGAGATTACAAAAGCTGTTTAATTTAGAGAGTAGTTCACAGAAGAAAAAGTCAATAATCTGATTGGGTCCATCCGGAGTTCGGTAAAAAAAAGTTATTTAGGTACGTTATAGATTATCCCTTTGCTTTGACTTTCCTGGGTCTCTTTCCAGAAAATTTGTTCGAGAAATGAGGTTCTCTATTTTGGTGAAGACAATAATTTATATTGCTTTAAATGTATCAACAGATTCCGCCAAAGAAAACCTAAACCAACCAAAACTCACCCCAATTGGTTAGTTTGGTCCTAACCAAAACTAATCCAAACTAAACAAAAATACCCCTAATAAGTAAAAAACAGACGGGCCGCATATATTCTGTACGAGAGAATTGTAAACTTTTCAAATTCGAGGGAGTCTGTGTCGAACACACCCTGATGGTCGAAAAAGGCATTTCCCAAAAAAAGTGTTAGTAAGTTGTGATATGCTATTTTGTCGACATAACACAAGTAAAGATCTAATCACATTTGCGAAGTTATTACCCAGTTCTTTGGTTTCACACAACAGAAAGAGACATATCAGCATTTAAATAATTATGTATTCTAACAATTAAGTAGCAAGCATCAGTTTTATCCAGTCGTATCTGAGCTGAAATAATTTTTCTCTCTCTGAAAAACTCTTTCGAAGAAAGGGATTTTAAGTGGCGCAGTCGTTAGGTTTTTGACAAGAATTTGTTAATACTGTGTTTGCATTTGCATTTGCATGCATGCAGTTATTGACTTCTACTAATGCTGCTGGCATTTCAGTTTTACCAAAATGTTGTATTTCAAATGCGCCGTATGGATTCTTGGCAACCATCATCAACTTTGTTTTGTTTTTATGAGCGCCATCTTGGATTTTTACATGTTTCAAAGCAGCTTTTTTCTGATTACGATGATGTATCACATGTTCATAAGGTTCAGTCTTGCTGTTTRGTGAAAATAACAAAAATCCTGTTTTTGCAAAGAGTGCTTCGGAATTTACACACCAAATCTTTTGTTTTAATCAACAGATTTTAGACAGTTTCTGTATCTGTTTGAGTAGCATAAAAAAAGAAAAAAGTGTATTATAAATTTACATTGGATGAACCTAAACTTTGAGATACCAGTAAATTAATAAAATTATAGCAAAAACAAAAACTGAACCTTAACATGTGATACAACATCGTAATCAGAAAAAAAAGCTGAATTCAAACATGTAAAAATTCAAGATGGCGGACATGAGAAAAGCAATGTTGATGATGGGTGTCGAAAATCCATAAATCGGATTTTGTACGCAACAACGCCACGTTGTAGAAGAGAAAAAGTTGCAATGATGAAGTATTATTCATTTTAAATTTTCCCGCCAAATAATCTAAGGAAAAAATAAAAACAAATTTTTTGAATTGCAATTTTTTCCGGATATCCAGATGTAGCGGAAATTTTAAAAATTTTCAATGCGCATTTTAGCAAGCTCTAGACTGCGCAACTTTGTCCCAATTTAACCAATCTCGTATCTAGTATGGTTACCGAAATCCCCATGGTTGAGCTCGAAAAACCGAGACCCTGTATATAAATGTTCAGATCATAGTCCAAGAAAGTTAGAGAAGAAGTTGTTACGGCTCTTTACAGTAACAAATATTCTCTAAAACTGGAAATAGAAATCTCGAAAAACGATAAATTATTCATATAAATAAAAATAAAATGATCCCCGTTTTCGTCATAGTCTCAATCAACGTAAAGTTCCACAATCTAGATTTATTAGAATACCCAGGAAAGTTATCATTCGATCTC